GTTTGGAGTTTAGGGTTTGGGATTTAGGGTTTAGGGTTTAAGGTTTGGGGTTTAGGGTTTAGGGTTTTGGGTTTAGGGTTTGGGGTTTAGGGTTTAGGCTTTAGGGTATAAGGTTTAGGCTTTAGGGTTTAGGGTTTGGGGTTTAGGGTTTAGGGTTTAGGGTTGTGGAGTAGGTTTTTGGGGGTTCCTGTAAAGGGTTCCTTAAAGGGTTCGATAAGGGCTACTCTAAGGGTTCAGGGTTTAGGGTTGCATCAGAAGGGCGTGCTGCATTTCTTCAAGCTCCAGGAAAAAAGACACGTACTCTTTGTGTCTGTACCGATATCTATATCTGAATCTATATCTATATCTATATCTATATCTATATCTATATCTATATCTATATCTATTTCGATATCTATATATTGGTATACCTATATCTGTATCTGTACCCATATTTATACCTACATCTAAATCTCATCTAAATCTAAATCTACATCTATATCTGTGTCTATAGTGTATCTATATCCAAATGCATATCTGCATCTGTATCTCTATCTATATCTCTATATATGTAAATAAATATATTTATATCTACGTATCTCTTTCTCTCTCTCTCTATATATATATATACATATATGTATATATATATATATGTACATACCTGATATAGATGCATGTCTATTCAGATCATCGTTAAAAGCCTCATGCCCCGAAAACTGCCCCAGGCCTGATGATGATCAAGACCAGCACCATGCCGCCCGTGCGCTGGGGTTTGTGGCTGTTCGGGCTCCTAAACCCTAAACCCTAAACCGCTGGTGCGGGGTGGGGGGGGGACAGGTCTAGGGGTTCAGCATAGTCTTGGGGTGTAACAGTCTCAGGATCGGGGTTTTTGGGTAGGTTCTACCCTACATATCGATAGATAGATAGATAGATAGATAGATAGATAGATAGGTGGATAGATAGATAGAAGGGTTATGCAACTCTTCAAGCTCCCATTTCGAGATTCGTGGGATTCCAGTCTCGAGGTTAAGGGTCCAGCTGGTTTGATGCCAAGTGCTGTGAATGCACGCCCATATCGAGCAGAATCAGCTCAGTGTCTCGGCTCTTTCGCTACTTTTTAGGAAGTGCTTGAAATTACAACCAAGACTCAAGGGCAGTGAGGCGACGGTCTCTGCCGGCTTTCTGCCGCAGCAGCAGACATAAAGCTCTATGCAAAGTTTCAATCTTCGAGGCTTTATAGATGATGCTGTCTAGCCAGGCCACAACAAGAATAACAAGAACAGGAAGAGCAAGACCAGTACCAGGAAGAAAGAGAAGAGTGATAGCTTATCTCTGCATCTTCTTCTCGGCTTCTGCTATACACCCTAAACCCTAAACCCTGAACCCTAAACCCTAAACCCTAAACCCTAAACCCTAAACCCCAGATCTCAGCCAAGAGATTCGATCCCTTTCGGCTCAAGCGGTGAGCAAGCACCCAGCGACCAGCGCAATTCCAAGTCGACTTCTTTGTTGAGGCAGATTTCGGGTTTCGTCTTTAGGGTGTAGGAGTTATATAGGGTTTAGACAGTTAGGGTTTAGGGTTTAGGATTTAGGGTTTAGGGTTTAGGATTTGGGATTTAGGATTTATGGTTTAGGGTTCAGAGTTTAGACTCTAGGATTTAGGATTTAGGGTTTAGGGTTTCGGGTCTTCCTTGAAGCTTATGGGGACCCCTCAGATCAGGGAGATCCTTCTGAAGCCTTAAAAGAGCCCTCACCACAAGGGCTTTGGGCTTAGGGGTTAGGCTTGTAGAACCTTAAACCCTTTAAACCCTAAACCCTAAACCCTCAACCCTAAACCCTAAGCCCTAAGTCCTAAACCCTAAACCCTAAACCCTAAACCAATTCCTGCGTTCAGGGGTGTAGAGTGTCGGGTTTAGGGCCTCAGGAGCCCTCAAGCTCTAAGCTAGCTGCTCGGAGGCTGAAAGGGCTCCGAAAGTACGGGTTGTAGAGAGGTACCTTAACCTACCAAAACCCACTTTTTTGTAGGTTCTTATTACAAACCCTAATATGGATATTTATAGGGGCCCTACAAAAAAGTAGGTTCTGGTGGGTTAAGGTAAGTACGTAGAACCCCAAGAAGTACCCATGGCTCTTCAAGAATGCTACGGTAAGCCAGAAAATCCTGAACCGAAGACCCTAAGCTTGCACACGCCCTACGAATTTGGTTCCCTAGGCTAACCCGCACCCTAAAGCCTAATATGGAAGCTTGAAATTTCGTCTTACCGTCCCTTAGGGTTCCTTATTCTTTTTAGAATGCCCCCCCCCCCCCCCTCAACAATATCATATTCTAATCGTCATGGCGATACTAAGAGGCCCAAAATAGAAGCCTAGATAATTACCAGAAACCCTAAACCCCTAAACCCCTAAACCCCTAAACCCTAAACCCTAAACCCCAAACCCTAAACCCTAAACCCCGAAACCCTAAACCCCAATATTCTTCCTCCGCGTCCCTTGTTATAATTTTACTGCAGAGGAGCTCAACAACCCTATTGAGATTATTTTTAGGCCCCTACATTATCTTGGCGTTCTTCTGGTTGGCTCTTAGGACTTTAATCTTCTGGGCTTCTGTATGAACGATACTCAGGTAGGCTAAAATTTCAGCTTTAGGAAGTGTTCAGAAGTCATCCAAGTTATATTACATCAAACAGTGCTGTATCCCGAACCTTGGGTAGCACTACCTCAAACAGCTACCATACCCTATTTCCTGTAGTGTCTTACTATGAACCGTAATTTGACATGTATAGGGGCCCTTTAAAAAAGTTGCTTCCGGCCTCGCATTTAGAGGGTTTTAGGGGCTTAGACATTTTCTCGAGAGAGAGACAGATAGACAGATTGACAGGTAGATGGATAGATAAACAGATAGACAGATAGAGAGAGAGAGAGAGAGATGACGCAAGAAACACAGAGAGATGCACATGGGTCCGCTATCAGCAGTGCTTGAAAACCAACCCTGGAACCCTGTCGCACTGTGGATGTAGGCATTCCACGTGTGCGTCAGAATTTGTCTGAGGTTTCTGGGGCAGTCTCAGTTGAGTCAGTACTCCGTCGTGACCAACCCCGCCAAACTTGGTCACCCTGCACTTAAGTCGGGGTTTAGGTTTTTCACTTCATCCATGGTTGAACCCATGGGCCCCTAACATGGGCCCCTTAAGGGTATATATATATATATAGAGGGTATATAGTAGGTACATTAGGGTCCCAGGGTTAAGGGCCCATACTAGGAGCCCATGGGTTCTTCCTTAGACTTCAGTCAATCCCTGGGCCCTGAACCCAATGTCATCCGCTCTTGGATTCTGCCAGACAAGTACTCACACGTCGAAACCCTAAACCCCAAACCCCAAAAACCCTGAACCCGAAACCCCAAACCCTAAACCCGAAACCCCAAACCCTAAACTCGACCCCAAACCCTAAACCGCAAACCCCAAAAAACCCTGAACCCGAAACCCCAAACCCTAAACTCGACCCCAAACCCTAAACCCTAAACCCCACGGCCTTCGGGCCTCCGGCCTAAGCCAAAGCTCCAAGTTCTAAGCCGTGCGCCCTAAACAAAAGGGTTTAGGGTTCAGTGTTTAGGGTTTAGCGATTTAGGGTTTAGGGTTTAGGGTTTAGGGTTCAGTGTTTAAGGTTTAGCGGTTTAGGGTTTACTTGGCACATCATGACACTTACTCAGGACTCAGGAAGCAAGGTTTAACAGCCGTAATTTGGGTTCATACAAGAAGTGTATTTGCCTTTCTCTTGTCCTGGCTATGAAATGCCAGGAACCCTCAAGTAAGTTCTCTGTTTCTGTTACGAACCCGAAGGGTCCAAAGTCCCTGTGGGGGTTCAGGGTTTAGGGGTTAAGGGTTTAGGATTTAGGGTTAAGGGTTTAGGGTTTAAGGTATAGTAGGATGTACGATTTCTATATTAGGAACCCCTATTATGATTCGGCAAAGTATCCGCCAACACAGTACCTAGGACCACGGACGCATTAGGGAAGGTTTAGGGTTTAGGAGCCTTATGGGAGAACAGTTGTTTGCTTTGAGGTTTCGGGCTTCGGCTTAGGCATACAATGACCAAGTGCGACTGCCAAAGCACAAGCAAGTGCTCTCAGGGTTTAGGTGCAGACTGACTCTAGCGCTTTTGTTTCAGAGCTCAGGGTTCGGTCTTTTTTCAGCTTTAAGCTGTGGAGCGTAGGGTTTACGGCCATTTATGGTTTAGGGTTTCGGCTTTCGTCCGTGGGGTTTTGGGGTTGGGACGGTTTGCACGTCTTGCCCATCTGACCGTCGAACAGGCACCATGCAGAACGAGGAGGGCCGCGTCGTTGACCTCTACCTGCCTCGCAAGTGCCAGCCTCGGCAAGTCACAGAGAAATGCCTTACCCCTAAGCCTTAAAACCTAAACCCTAAACCCAAAATGGCTACGGCTCAAGGCCGTTTTCTCTCAAAGGTTCCCCGGTTCCCAAGGTTTTCCTTTCCCTGTTCCGCCGCCATAGCACCAGGGAGAGTTGTGCCTGTCGGTGAGGAGGCCCTTCTGAGCTGATCCCGTGAGGCGAGGAAGCCGTGGTGGCACGTGGGTGAGCTGTACGTGACCTCCCTCGCCTGCTTTTACCCGATCCTGCACTCCGCCTTCTGTCCGATCCTGTACTCCGCCTTTGCTGGGAAAAGGAGGGCGAGTTCTACACGGATCTCCTCGTTTCCTTCTACCCGATCCTGCACTTCACCTTCTACCCGATCCTGCACTCCGCCTTTGCTGGGCAATAGGGCGAGTTCTACACGGCTCTCCTCGCTTTCTTCTACCCGATTCTGGGCTCCGCCTTCGCTGGAGAAAGAGGGTGAGTTCTACACGTTCCTCCTCAAGTACTTGGGCTCGATCCTGCGGTGCACCTTCGCTGGGAAAAACGATCGTCGAAGACCAAAAACATGGCCACGGAGCAAGCCATCCGGGTTGACGATGAAGGGCATTCTCCTACTGAGATCGCAGACGAGGAAGACATGGAAGAGGTACAACCTCCAGGCGGTGTTTTGGTGACCAAGGAGGAGATCGCGAAGGACGCCCTACGTGGAACGCGGAAAAAGAAACGTGAAAGGTCTGGCCCGGAGATCAAGCAAGAGGAAGAGGAGGAAAGTCCCAACAAGCGAGCACTGGCTTCGGGTGATGCGCCTCTATCTGGTCGTGAACTACGGGAGCTACTTCAGATGCACATGTTCGAGATGAGGGCGGCATGGGGTGAAGAACGAGCCAGAGTTGATCGACTTGAACACAAGCAGGGGACGATGGAGAATGAGGTGAGCGAAATGAAGGGTCGCACAGCTGCTATGGAAATCAAGGTGCAGGAACACTCCACTACACAAGGGCGACATGAGCGGAAGCTGGACGAGATTGCCGAGGACCTTGCGAAGCTCAAAGTTGAAGTTGGAGGGAAAGTGCAACAGCCGAGTGTACAAGGTGAACCCCGTGAAGACCCCTGGGCTCAATACTTACATGGGCGACAACGAGAAGTGAAAAGGCCTTTTGGAGGCACCTCGTGGACACGGACAAGTGGTGACAACAGCTTCGCGGACGAAGGAGGTTTGTCGGAGGAGGAAAAACGCACCCTTATCCTGGGCGGGTGGGCACAAGACACGAAACGGGCGGTGATCGAGGCTGAGAGCAAAGCAATCTTGGGGCGACCTGAATTGCAGGGACTCTTGGATGTGGAGCAGGCCTCCGTCTATGGGCCAAGACGATCCGTCGGGAGCTTGAAGTTTGATATTCGCCCCAATGAAGACTTCAAAGCGGTCCGGGAGAGGATGTGGGGTGTGGTTAAAGGGCTACGGGACATGAGCATTGTCGTGCCAAGCGTGAAGGATTCCCCAAATCCACGACCAGCCTGGGCAGCGTTCATGAAGACCAAGGAAGCCCGTAAAAGGTCCGCTCTTGTGAGTCAGATCAGGAGGGTGACCACGCAGTTGGCGGCGGATTGCACCACAGAGCAAGGCGCGCCCAAAAACCCCCACGCTGTTGTTTCGGAGAACTATGATTGCGATTGGAACAATGGCACAGTTTGGTGCGGACCAAGAAAGCTGGGGTCCTCAACACACCGTCAACCCAGAACCCAAGGGGTGATTTTGATGCCCGGGGGCTGGATTGATGTGATGGCAGTCTGTGAGACCACAGGGTGTACGGAGGCAGATGCGAGATCTGCCTTTGAAAGGGAGCTCTGAACCAACACGACGACCTGTTTCACGCAGCCCGATGACGTTGCCAACGTTGACATGGTTAAACCACCAATGGGGCGAAGTTGTGGGGCATCCTCGCTACGCGGTGCAAGACGGCGAGCGGGACGATTTTCACAATGGAATTTGGGAGGACAACCTGTTGATACTCTGGAGGTTGTTCTGCATGACTCTGATTTTGTTGCGGTCCAAGAGGTTGCTCGTGGAGAAGCAGGCTGGGGAGAACATGATGATGCACATTTCCATTGGGTACTACATCGACATTCTGATCATTACCGTGGGGTAGGAATTGGCATTGCGCAGGACCTCCTGGACAGTGTCATCGAGAAAACGGCCACCACGAGGGGTATCTGGATTCTGGCTCGAATCAAAGGCCTGGGGCGAGTTGTTTTTGGATCGGTTCACTGCCACACTGGGGCGACACAACAGGTCTACGCTGATGCGGTTCAGCAGTTCTTCAAGGGGATCAAGAAAAAGTGGAAACAATACCCCATTGTGGTGGGAGCCGATGTCAATGAGCAACCTGGGTGGCATGAAGTGGAGGATGGACGATTCGAGGTGATCAATGCCAATGTTAACCTCAGTTCGTTTCTGGAGGAAGCTATGCGCGCTGGTATTTGGCCCAACTCTCCCTCCTCCCATCTTCTTCGATGCCCAACGCACTACCCGAGGGACACCACTAGGGAAGGACGACAAATCGACATGATCCTCGGGAAGAGCGTTTCTATTGGCAATACACACATCCGCCCTGAGCTCCGACACTGCATCGGCACGGACCACGCTGAGCTCAATGCTGACATCTTCTCCTCGATTTCTCGACGCCAAGCATGGGGGCAAGACACTCGACCGAGGCGCCTCACAGCCATCCTTCCGGACAATGACACCATTGTGGACAGCAACGACCTCAAGGCACTCGCGAAGGAATGCACAGCCCCGAGAACGTCCCCATGCTATGTAGATTCCCTTGAGCTCAAGGAGCTGATCAACCGGGCGAGAGAGTTCAACGACAAGGAAGACTGGAAACGCATCCACAAACTTCGGAAAAAAGCAATTCGGCAATGGCAAAAAGACAGGCCGAGAAGGTTGTCCAGGGTGATTGGTCCGCTTTCCGCTCCTACAAACGGGACAGAATGCGCCGTAAGGGATGGTGGGGTCGGATGCTTCAGGATAAATCTGCGGTTGAGCTGACCAAGGACGTTCAACTGCACCTACAAGGGAAGATGACGAACCCATCTGATGACACGTGGCCACACAGGCTCCAAGAATTCATCAATGCGGTTCGTCGACCTGAGCGCTGGTGTCCCTATATATACGAAGGAGGAGATCTTCGAAACCCTCTCTCATATGAAGACGTACACTGCCGTTGGGCTCGACCTTGTCTGTGTGGACCTTATCAAGGCAATCACCCTCCATGGCGTTCTTGGATCACAACTCGTTGACTTGATCAACCACATCATCTACCACAACGAGCAACCAGAGGAGTGGTCAGTCAGTGTGCTTGCTCTTCTCGCGAAATGCCCTGAGCCCCTCGTGCCTGGGGACCTTCGGCCGATTTGCGTTGGGTCGAATTTCAGCAAGCTCACCAACCGCCTGATCATGGGGCGAATTTTCCCTGTGCTAAGACGTGGTTCCAGCATTTCCACTTGTGGGAAAGGACGCCAAGTTGCTGACCTCATTGGTGCCATGACTAGAATGAGGGACATTGCACACGAGTGGAGGGAACCTCTGCTCTTCGCGAAGCTGGACGTAGCTGGCGCATTCGACCGCCTCTCGAGGGATGAAGTTGCGGAAATGATCGTCAGCAGAACCAAGAACACCGCCCTCGGCGTTGAAGCACAGTTTCTGTTACGCCAGCTGGACATCAATGTTCTACGGGGAATGGTTCCAGGAGGACATGAGATCTCTGTTGAGGCCAACGTGGGCATACGCCAAGGCTCCCCTGACTCGGCGGAACTCTTCGGGCTGGTGATGGGCATGTTGCTGGATGATATGCTGGAAAGAGATCCATGGAAGAATGTGGGACTCGCGTTCAAGGACCTCCCTGTGGACTTGTTCTTCTTCCAGGACGACGTGTTTGTGTTTGATACCACGGCAGCCCGGCTCGCGAGGAAGATCGAGATCATTGGTGGCGCGCTTAGCAAAGGAGGCCTCAAGCTGGCGATGAACAAGACAAAAGTCATTGCCTCCCCTGACTACAAAGGGAAAATGACGCTCAAGGTCGAGGATCAGGACGTCACCATCCACAGGAACTCCGCTATCCGTGTTTTGGGTGTTTCCTTTGATCTTGGGGAGACACCTGCACAACAGGCTGAAGAACTACTAGGCCGGGCCCGCGCCGCATATGCTGAACATCGTCCTCTACTTGTGGCCAAAGGTTCGTGGTCTCAGAAAGCCTTCATCATCTCCATGCTGATCACGGCGACGTGGAGATGGTCGGCAGGATGTGTACACTGGAGCAGGGAGAGCCTGGCGAAAGCCAATAGCCTCCAAGCTCAGATCTTCAGGACTGCCTTCAAGCTTGGTCGCGTGAAGGGAGAGACATGGATTGACTGGAATACAAGAACCCTGCGGATGGTGAGATGCTACCTTCATCGTCACCAAGTGGAACGATGGAGCACCTTGGCTCTTCGATTACAACACCAACTCCTTGGGCATTGGGCAAGGCACTGCGAAGTGGTTAAAGGTGGTTGGGAGCACATCGAAGGGGTGACAATGCGATGCCTACGATGGAGAAATCAAGCTTGGTGGCAAGAACAACAATCCTTACACGCATCTGGTCTAGGGCTCAAACACCCCCGCAGTTTCTACCCCTCTAATATGGAGAGGCAGATCGCTGCAGTGGCCGGCAATGACTGGCCCCGTATAGCTCAGGACCGCAACAAATGGAAAGAATCTCTCGTGGAATATCTTCGCAAATGGGATGTCAAGTGGGCAAGAGGGAGACAACTTTCCCTTGAATGAGCAAGGCTGTTCGCTGTTCTGTTGGTGCGTGTGATGCCTGACAAGCGGATTGCCCTGGCTGAGCTGCGTTACCTTGCATGCCCATGTGTCTCGGCTCTACTTTCTCGTTTGTGACAAAGACAATTTCCGAGTTTGGATCCCTTTTCTCTCGATCATGGCTCCGCTGCGTGGCCGGCTGCTGTTTTGGGCTGCTGTGCTTCTCGTGGGGCGACTTTTGTGCAGGACCTCTTCTTCTTCCTCTTCCTTCTCTGTTTCGGCCACGGTGACCCGGACTCAACATGCTAAAGTTCCCCTTGATGAACCTCGCCTACGAGATGGAACCATGGTGAAAATTTTGACACCGGGTGACATTGAGTTCAACTGCGACATCAAGGCGGACACCGACGTGCCATGGACTACCTCGACCTCGTCAACCTCCAGCACCACGAGCACACCCGGGGAGATGTTTCTCCATCATGATGAGAGCACCCAGACGTTCGCCAACCACACGACGACAAGCTCCACCTCGCCCACGGCTGCCTCCTACTATGCCCCTGCACATGAAGCTCATTTGTGGGAAACCAATTGGAATGGAGAATCGGAGCCATGGCCAACTTGGGATGAGAGTGAGGCTGGCATTGGGGACCTTCTGCTCCAGCCTGTCACGGTGAACCCTGAGCAGGCAGCTGGGAACCCGTCTCTGGAGGGCGCATGCACACCACAAGATCCAGGCGAGGGTGACAATGACAATCTGGAACAGCTCCCCACGTTCATGTATGATGATGACTATGTGATGAACTATGTCCGGGCCATCGAAGAAAAACATGCTCGCCTACTGCAGACAAAGGGTCCAGAGGGGAAACACAATGCGACAGATGAGGGTGAAGCACCGCAGCAGTCCACTCCTGGGGCGAGTTCATCTTCGTCATCCTGGTCCTCGTGCCCTACTTTGTGTACTTTGCCCTCGCCTTTGCCCGCTTCCCCGCCTACCTCGTCATCCAGCTCTACAGCGTCTACTCATGAGGAAGCGACGCAATCAGGTTGGATCAAACGAGGGGGCAGATGGCGTGCAGGTCTCGATCGGTGGCACCACCCAGATGGCACACTTCGGCGCCCGAGGACAATGTTTGACGTGCTGGGTTACCATCCGGAGAATACGTGGCCGACTACGTGGCAAGACACACCAGGGCCACCCGTCTTGGCAGATCCGCCCGCACATGATGATGCACCTGAGGAGGCTAACCTTGGTGAACACCCGTCCTCTACCTCCTCCCCTGCACAAGACGAAGAAACGACCACAGGACATGGGGAAGCAGTGTCAGAGGCTGAACTTGTGGACGATGAGCCGATTGACCCCCTTGTTTTATGGGCGAGATCACAGCCTTCCTCACCACAGTCGACCAGGTTGACAAGGAGGATGAGAAGACACCAAACAAGCTCCAGCTCGTCGGGGGATGACGATGGAGGCACGGGCAGTGAAGCTTCCTCGATGAATGACTCGTCGATCTCCGGTCTAGATGCGGCCTCCAGCGATGCCTCAACAAGCGCTGGGGATGAAGCGGCGGTCGGTTTCTGGATGCATGGCACGTGGATTCCGAGGCCAAGGAGTCCACAGGAGCTTCGGAGACATTGGGGCGGCCAAGGTGCCCGACGAATGGCAAGGCGGGAAGCCAGAATGCGACAATGGCAGGAAGGCAAATGGCTCCCCTCATGGCTGCAGCGCTATAAGGAGGAAAAGAAGCTGCGTGACCGCCTCAGGGAGACAGGCCCTATCCCAGAAGAGGAGGAAATCAATCCTGAGGAGACCCAGCCCGCAGCCGCCCCTCTACTACATGATGACGCAAAGGATGACTTTGAGGAGACCCAGTCCGCAGCCGCCCCTCTACTACATGATGACGTAAAGGATGACTTTGATGAACCTTCGCCTCTGTGCTCCACTTGGTCAATGGGAGCAGTGGAGGAACCTGCTCATTCGGAGGAGACGGCGGAGGAGAACGGTGCAACCCTTGCTACTTCATACGAGGCGCAAGTGGAGGGCGACATGCAGGAGGAAGAGATTGCACCTTGTACAAATCCGACTACGGTGGATGAAGTACAAACTTGGCCTGACGATGCCTGGGCAGAAGGCTGGACGACATGGAATGGGTGGAATGGCTGGACATGGAGTACCACCGCATGGAGATGGGAAGCTTCAGGATGGACTCGAGGGACACACTGGGAAACAACGAGCACCTCCTCGACTACGACCACGACCACCATGATGGACGCCAGTAACATGCAGCTGACCGACAACGAGCGCAACAACCTTGAGCAGTTGCGGGTACCAACGGTGCAGGTGGACAGGTTTGCCCAGCTGCTTGATGTCCTTCAGGACCACCAAGTACAAGAACGTGGCCCGGAAAGTCGCTGGGCTCTACAATGTGTCCTACGAAGAGCGGAACACGCCGAAGAAGCCCTGGAGCTGATGCTGAATGTCATTTCGCGAAGGCTGCAACCGAGGGGCGTCTACCCCATCACCCGCACACCGGGGACGGACAACCAGATGCGGAACCTTTACAGTTGGGCTCAGAACTTTGCCTCGGTCATCCTGCACTCGATGGAGGAGATTCTTCGGCGCCCCCTCTTTGAGCATGACTTCGAGCCGGAGTTTGCGGGGCAGAATGCATCCAGCTCTTCATCCGTGAGAGCAGCCCGCACTGAAGGGAGGTCTCCGTCAAGCTCGCCTCCGCCAGGTTCAACAACAAGTGTGAGGGTGAGGTCCAGAAGTCGGAGCCGTGCAACAGACGACGCGTCACATGAGGCGACAGGAAGCGAAAGGACCCACCCTCTTGAAGGGGTGAATTCACCCGGGAGAACGACGCCGACCGACTTGGGCCCTTCAACTGCCCTGCCGTCTACTTCGTCGGGTCCACTCCTGGGGATTTGGAGGGAACCTGACACGGAAGAGGGTGACAATGCAGATGAAATACTCAGTTCACAAATGACCTCACTGACGACCACCTCGCAGCCGACCACCGCCTCCTCTTCCTCTTCTACGCCGAGCAGCATATGGATGGGTGAGTTTGGAACAATGGAGTCCAATATGAGGCATGCGAGATGGACAACTACATCAACTACGCCCGTGCCGTGTGCAGCCAACTCTTCTTCTTGGTCAGGGTGGGCTGATGGGTTGACATGTTGTTCGACTACGACCACAACGACGGAGGAGAAGTCCATCGAGGAGGCCATTCGTGATGCTGTCAACCTGCAGGTCTTCATGGGTGGGAGGTCCGACATGCGCGACCTCATGCGGCGGCTGCTTGACAGACTCAGGGCGCTTCTCCGCCTGCAACGACTCACCCAAGTGGCCATCGAAGAGCTACAGCTATGGATGGTTCAGGATGATATGGAGCGGCCGTGGAACGCAGCCACACAAGAACACCTACTGTGGCATGTCATTTCCAATGGGGCGAATGGTGCTTCAGGAAGTGACCCTGCTTTGGTGCTGCCAGAAGTTGCACATGTCATCCTGCAGCCCAACTTGCCGGATAGGAAAAATCTTCGCCGACAGCTACCAGGACAAAGTGTGCGACATGTTGTCGGTTATCGGCGCAGGGCTTGGCGACAGCATGCAAACCAAGTGATGAGGGGGCGACAGGGCGAGCCAGAAGACGTCCCCGTAAATGACCAGCACCTCTTCCTCGTCCAGACCAACTCTACGTCAACTACCAACAACATCCCCCTCAATGCGCCCGTTCCTCCAGATCCACATCGTGACCAAGTACAGTTCGGGATGATGGTCAGACGCAGATGCCATCGTGCAAGACCGGCGACGGCAATGGAGGGTGGCGCAGCGAGAATGGTCCGGGCCACACTACATGGGGGTGGACCGATGGTGCGACAGCGTCAACCAGGACCAGGAGCCCATCCTGCTGCATCTTCGTCGTCCCTACGTGCTGTTCGTCGTCCTCCACCAGAAGGGCGAGATGATGATGGTGATGACGGGCGAGCTGAGGGAGGGGACGATGTTGAGGGTGACGATCCAGGACTACGTGAGCGAAGCCGTAGTCGTGATGGTGCTGATGGGGCCTAGGGCTGCCTTTACTGTTTTGGTCGTTGTTGTACAGTGAAGGGCTAAACAGTGGGTTCTCGCACAAAAGTGGCATCTCTGACGGCATGGAAATATGAACCTTAGCCGTACAGGGTAATTTTATTTTGCCCCTAGCCACAGAAAGCTGGGGAGAAACTGAGTGTTTGGCCCAAAGGGCTGAGGCAGAGCTCGCAGAGCGAAAGTCCCATAACACTTTTTTTTAAAAAAAAACCCTAAACCCTAAACCCTAAACCCTAAACCCCTAAACCCTAAAATGAATACTGTACGTACTGCTTTGCATCGTCTTGTGGACCCGAAGCTGTGAACTCGCAAGTGTCAACAATTCTTGGCACTCGTACTCGGAGTCCCCCTGAACTGTGGCGACCTGGTCGCTGTTCGTCGCATCTTTGTTTGTGATCAAAGGCTTAGAGTTTTGCGATAGGGGCAATTCAGGTTCAACGAATTGTTATCGAGTGGATTAAAGTACAAAGCCAAAGCGAGTCGGAAGCGGAGTCAGCGCTGAGAGCTTTTGTCTTAACTCGGTTGCCGCCATGTCTACACGAGTGGAGCAGTGGATTCCGATCACTGGGCAGCCGCTTCGATCGCTGAATACGGCATGTTGACATATAATATACTGATGCTTGCGGGCCTCCCCAACGCCAGAACTCTGTCAACTATATTGCTACGTGGGAATCTGTCATAGCATGCATACCGTTCATGCAGTAGCCAACAGCATACCAGGCAAAGGCCCTGTCGCATTGCACGGGCACTCCTTTGAGAAGATGCTTGTGATGACGAAGTCGGTTCCCATGTGACTCGGACCCCAGTTTGTCACGGTAGCTGTTGTTGAGATTACCCCTGTATCTCTGCGAAATACTATGCAGGGCCATAACGGAATGTACGGCATTAGGACCACCTTGTGTGATCCGTGTGAACGGCTTAGCCTGTCAGC